CCCGCCCCCCCCCCGCCCCCCACCACCAGGCCACCATTTTTATACTGTATATCCTCCCAGGCCAACAGTAAGGGGCAGTACCCATCTGATCGCGTGGAAAAACAATGTCCCAAGGAAATGAACTAAATAATGATGCCTCAACAACACGGTGGGAAATGAGCACTTTCACAGTACGTGGTGCTCTCAAGTCTGAATATTCTAAAGGAGCAATAATGTAAGACCACTTTTGTTATGCTACTACCTTTTTCGTTTTTACTGCATTGAAGAAAGTAATTGTAGGAATTACCCTTGGAAGGGTTAAAGAATGATTAATATCCATCCATATGATATGGTGGTGTTCCTATGATCATCTTCTCCAGGATTCCCCCTTCTATATACGCTTAGACCCAACAATTAAGTATACTCCGAAGAATTGGGGTTATAATGTGTGTGTAAAAACTCATCTCTTCACTTTTTGTTTTTCTTCTTCTTTTCATGTAGATATATGTATTTCCCGTTTTCTGTAATGCGGACGATACAAACACATTTGTGGTCGTGGGGGTGGTCGCAATTCACTGGTCTTACGTTCGAGACTCATCATCTGGATGAACCTGCAATTCAGCATGGTTTTATTATATGTAGCTAAGATTCCACATAAGTAGATTCTCCCTTCGTCTCAAAATCATGTTCTCACTTTTCACTTTTTTTTTATCTCAAAAATGATTTTTCCACTCTTTCTAAAGAGAGAATTACTCAGTATGTGATTTATATTATTTCTCTTTCGTCTTCGTAAGCTTCGACCACATAATTTCACGTTTGTTTAATTCAATGTCATTTTGATGTGAAAAGGTGAATTTGGTGCGGAGGGATTAATAATTTTTTTTAAAAAAATATTTCAAAAAATAAAGAAGAATTAAAAGTGAAGTACCTGAAACCTTTCATTCCTTTCATTGATGCTCATAGCCCTATGCTTGACTTCGCCTCTGCTAGTAGTCATCTCATCCAATATCTCACCAGATGAGTAATCATCTTCTTCCTCTCCCACAAGGTTGCACGGTTCTCCATCCTGAAAAAGCAATGTTTGCATTTGAGGATATTGGTACGTACAATTTCAATCTCTTAGAAGCTTTAACACGGTAAAACGTACAAATAAATAAACAAAGTTCAGTTCAAATCATATGAAATTTCTGTCAGAGTTAACACAGGTTTTTTTTTGACATCATAAGAATATTTTCAAACGAAAAGCAATATACCAACAAAGAACGTTGACATCAAAATGACAACATGACATGGAATGCACAGTGTCAAAAGTGAATAGTACTCTGCATATTGAGTTTGCAGATCCATAATCATTAAAGAAGGGAGAAGCACGTACGTGTGGTATAGCCAGAGCCACTCATCTATCCCCTATTTCCCCTTAAACCAAACCAGCTCTTTTCCCACTAGGTGGAGTCATCAATATAGATCAAGTGATGCCATTTGTTCCCTCAAGCCATTTTAACATTTTGTGGAGTAACATATTGAAATTTGGCTATTAGATTTGGACCATTTTCGAGATATGATCATGGTATTTGTAACTTACTATTTAATACGGAGTAATTTTACAACTGCCTAAACACAATCTTTGGCCACTTGATATTCAATCATTTTTCCAATACGACCATCGTGGTTTTCGATGTGCTCAATTTGGTCATTTTACTCCCATTTTCTTTCCATGAAACATTGTATGACAGAGTAGAAGAACAAAAAAAACTTAAGTTTAGGCTTAGTATACTCCAATTAGCTTGACAAACAAATAAACATGTACCTTGAAAGACGTATTCCTTGAACGAAATGAATGGCCAGCAATTTCTTCATATCCAGCTGCATCTAATTCCTGAAGGTACTGTGGTGGGAACCACCTTGGTAGAACATGCTCTCTTATACTTATCATAATGAAGAAAGGCAATGGGAATAGTATCCCAGCAATCGGTATCCATGTTATCCCAAAGCAAATCAACAGATATATAAATTGGAAACATGTGAAGGCAGCAATGTATTTGAACGGTACCAGCTCCACGAATGAGGCGTGGAGATTCTGCAACACTCTGCATCCAGAATGGGTTATTAAGCCGTTTGGGTAACAATTTCTATATGCAAGTATGCAACATGAGCACTACATATATGACCACAAAAAAGTTGGTTCGGCTGAGTTGATGAAGTAGACCCCAATAACATTCACAATATTTCGACTTTCTTATCTTGTCCGACTTCTCTTTCCTTATCTGGTAAAAGAGCTGTTACTTTACTACCTTCATTTAATATATCCGCCTACCGCCATTAATCACTCCCAACCACATTTCATGAGGACAAACTTGGAAATCAAAAATCATGTCCAGTGGAACCACAAACATTAATAAGGGATGCAGTAATCAGATAAAAAAGTGTGATATGAAACTAAGATGTTTATAGTGTCCTTTGAAATCCTAACGGAAGGATTTGATTAAAATCCA